CTTAAAGATTGAAAAAAACATTAAAAAAATAAATTATTAATAAATATTAAAATAAATAAATTAAATTTTTAAAATAAATAAATTATTAATAAATATTAATTCATAATATATTACATTGATGATTTTAATAAAAAATATTTCTTTATTTGAAAATCAATTTACATTGATGTTGACAACGATTCAATCATATTTTAATTTTTTTGGATTTGGAGAAATTCAAATAACAAATAAGAAATAGTTTAATTTTAATATTTTATTATTTTTTTCTAATTTCATTCTCTATAAAAAATATTTGTTTAAAATATTTGCTTAAAAATTGAAAAAAACATTAATAAATTATTAATAAATATTAATTCGATACATTGATGGTTTTAATAAAAAATATTTCTTTATTTGAAATAAAATAATAATTTTACGATTCTTGTTATCACAAAATATAAATCTTTATTGAAATTTTATTAAAAAATTATTAAAAATCGAATTATATTTAAATAAATATAAATAAACAAAATAAATTAAAAAATAAAATTAAAATAAAAAAATATTTAAACTTTAAAATATTAAATAAAATATTTTAATACAGATATAAAACGAAAATTATTAACTATAGAAATATAAATATACTTTTCTATTTTAATAAAGTACAATATTGTAAAAATTAAATGTAATTATTTTAAATCTTAAGACTTTTGAACGAAAGTATGAATATAAGGTTTTTTTGAAACTTTATTAAAAAATTACATTAGCCAACAATTGAATACATTTAAATATAAAATTTATAGTTTAAAATAAAACTTGGAATATTTTAATACCAACATAAATCGAAAATTAATATTATAAAAATTATAAATTTAATTTTAATTAGTAAAAATGTATTAATTATTATATTTATCATTGTAATAAATTGTTAAATTCCTTAATTACGAGTAAACATTTAAAAAATTCTCAAATTATTGATCACAATATCCAAAAAATCATTTTTAATGTAATCGATAAAGATCGGATGGCGTCGTTAAATTTCGTAACCGTAGCAAGGGTATAAATATAAGGCACAGCACAGCGAGCGGTCATTTGCCTTTGAACTAATCTATCGATCGATATTATAATTTTGAATAATTTTTAATAAAATAGGAAATATTTTTTTAACATTTATTCAATTAACATTTAATATATTTGTTTATTTAATTATTTATTAATTTATTAACTCGTTTATTTATTTTATTTTTATTTTTTAATTTTTAATTATTCATTTACATTTTTATTTTTATTTTTTAATTTT